TCCTCCCGGAGGACCCTTGAGTCTCACTGATTTTTTTGGCAGCAGGTCCATACCAAGCAATAAAGGCTTTCTTTACTTCTCTCCTACTTCTTTCACACCAGAGGAAGGAGATTTACACTTACATACTTAATCTTTTCATCAGATTTGTTTCTTCTTGCTTGGTAGACATTAGACCTCTGGTTAGGGTCCTAGCCCAAGGTCAGAACCTGCTTCCATGTCCTTATTCATTAAAAAACCCTGGAAGAAAGAACTTAGATGCTCTGAACTCACAGATCAATCAGGCAAGGGTTTCTTGGTCCACATTAGGTAGGGCCAACGGCCCTATTAAGCTACAAGTAGCCATAGAAGATGGGACTTTCTCTAACACTCCTTATAGATTTCTTGGGGACTAGGATTCTCAAGGAGGAATAGTACAGTTAAAAACAATAGACCTGAGAGAGTCATTGTCTTCCTTCCATTTAATTCTAAAAGGTACCTGTAATCATTCCCTCTTCTGTAGTCCTAGAGGGATAAAAAATAAAATAAAAACTCGCAAGTTCTCTGATTCTCTAAGCCAGAGCAATGCATGTTAGATTTTCTATCTTGACCTGCTCCCACCTCAATAAATGTTCATAGATATGTTCTACATGTCACAAAGATAACTAAGATCAGAGTGAATTCTGGGGCTAGCAGGGGTGTCGAGAGCCCTGGCACAACCCAGTACCCTGTCAGTCACTCCTGACAATCACACATAGAGATCCAGGGTGAGGCAGCTGGGCTGAGGTGCAAATCCTTCAAATTCTGAATGTCTGATTTATCCATGCACTATTCCTGTTTCCTTGTGCTGTGACCTGGGTGATGTGTTTTTCTTTCTCTGTCACCTCAAAACTCTTTGCTGTCTGTACCTTGTCTTTTGTCAGCACAGACGTGCCCCAGGCACAACTCTGGGTGATATTTCCTAAATGTAGCTGTGTGACACTTGCTTCTAGGGGGACACTTGGTATTCTGTCCTCATTATACACAAGAACCTGGACTCTATTTGACCTTTCCATGGTAGCACAATCCTTTAGATAGGCTTCTAAAGATCCTATCCTCTTTTCTTGCTTATAGAATTTTGAAAGTTATATTTATTTTTTATTACCTATGATAACATGTTTGTTGTTTGTCTTTCCATCTAAATTAAAGTTATATGAGGACTTATCAGTTTACCGTTGCTCTATCCCATGACTTGAAACAGGGATTAGCGCGCAGAAGGATTCCATATTTATTTATTGAGTGAATGACTCCAACAGTTGGGGTGGTTAAGATCGACTACTCATTCAGAAGGTATCATGGTCAAGAAAGAGAATTTAAAAGAAAAACATGGATAGTTCAGGGAAGATTTGTTTTCAGATGGAGGGTATATTAGCTTTCCTGGGATAGGCTAGTCAGCTGGAGCAAAATACCTGACATCTACCATGAAAGGAAAGATTTACTGTGGCTCACATTTCAGAGGTGTGCTCCATGACCCATGAGGAACATCCTAGAGGAAAGGCATTGTGCAGCAGAATTGCTCAGTGCATGGTTTCCAGGAAGTGGGGCACAGAGAAGGAAAGCCAGCAAGAGATCTACCCTCCTGAGGAACACCCCAGGACCCCACCTCCAGCTGGGCCCTGTCTTCTAACAGCACATGCAGCTGTGCACATCAGTGGATTAAGGTGATGAGGAGGAGAGTGCCCTTACTATCCAATTACACATCCTCAAGTCTCTTAATCCAGTCAGGTTGACAACTGAGCTGTCATTGAGTGTATGATGGATTTCTGTCGCTCTAAATAAGTCCCTCCTGAAGTCCACCTCTAGATTTTTCCATTGGGAAATCTACCATTCCTTTGGTTCCATGTGGTTCCAGTAGACTGTAGGTTCTTAACCTCAGTCCTATTGACTTTTTGTACCAGATTTTTTTTGGGGGGGCCAAGCTAGCAGTGACATATTTCTGGCCTCTACTACTAGGTGTCATTTGTACCACTTCTCTAGTTGTAATAACCAAAAAAATGACTTCAGATACTGTCAGATGTCCTCTGGAGGGTAAAATTGCTCTACTGAGAACCACTGAGGTAGATGGAGTCTACCCAAGGCTCCAGGGCTGAGCAGGCAAGTCAGAATTTGTCATCTGCTTATTTCACTGCTCTGGACCCAGTAATTGGCTCATTTGGTGGCATGTAATCCTACTTGAGCAAATCAGAGTTAGTGAATGGACTTTAGAAGAAGTAGACAAGTTTGTACTAGAATGCTAGTCTAACTATATATAGGCTTAGCACTGTCAGCAAATATTTTGCTAGTTTTGGGGGAGTGTCTGCTAAGGAATGAAACCAGTAAAGGAAAGTAGCATGGGAGATAGGACAGACTCCTGACGACCTGACTTGAATATTTAATTCCTGTTTAGACATAAGCCAATACAGCTTTGGCCTTTTCTGCTATGTGATACAGTAAGCTGCATTTGACGGAAGCCAGTGTGGGATGGATTGCTGTCACTTGCATTGGAATGGGTCCTAGCTTAGGATACTTGCAAGTGGGAAGGAAGAGCTAGTGATAAGAGAGGTTTAACTAATGAAGCCGTGTACTAGAAGGAACTGAATGGGATGAGCATGAGATAGTCTGTGTCAAGTGGCAGGTGGTAGTAAGGGTAAAGGTGAGTGGATTTAGACAAGTGTGGAAGAGAGAATTACCCCTGGTGCTTGCAGTACCAGGTAAGAGAGGATGAAGAGGAAGGCAAACTATGGTGGATGGCTTGAGGCAAGTGAGCAGATGAAATAGGGAAATGAAAATGGTACTGAGTGTGGATGAATAGAGGGTAGTGAACAGAACCCTGCCTCTGGGTATCTGTCCATGGGAAATGAAAGCAATGTCTGAAGGATATTTGTACAGATGTGTTCACAGCAGTGTATCACAATAGCCAAGAGTTGGAAGCAGCCCAGTGTTCTTCATTGGAAGAATGGATAGCAAGATAGGGTCTATGCATGTGTTGTGGTTTGAAAATATCTCCCACAGGCCCATCTGCTAAAGGACTGATCCCCAGGCTGTGTGCTTTTGGGAGGTGGTAGAACCTGTGAGAAGCATGGCCTAGTAGAAGAAATTAGGCCACTGGAGAGCTTGTGTCAGAGGAAATATTGTGCCCTTGGCCCCTTCTTCCTCACCTCCTGGTCACCATGAGGTAGCCAGAGCTCCTCCAGTGTCACCACAGTTCCCAAGTAAGAGGACCAAATGAGCATGGAGTGAGACCCCTGAAACAGTGTGTTAAATAAACCTATTTTTCATTTAAGTTGATCTTTTAGTATTTTGTCATAGTTACAGAAACCTAACACAACATACTCTACCTGTAAGAGTCTCAGGCTCTATGGACTGAGCTGAAAAGGGAGAAATCCTACCATGTACTAAAATATGATAAACCTTGAGGACATTAAGCTAAATGAGTCTCAAAAAATCAAATGATGAATGACTCTATTTATGCGGAACCAGTCATTGGCTCATTTGGTCACATGTAATTCTACTTGAGCAAATCAGTTATTGAATGGACTTTTGAAGAAGTAGACAAGTTTGTACTAGAATGTTTCTGTGTTTCAGTGGCCAGCAAAGCACACCCAGGGTTCCGGGGCTAGCATTGTATGTGGTACTGGGGATTCAACCTAGATCCTTGAGCTTGCCAGACAGATATTCAGACTGCTGAGCTATTCCCCCAGCCCTAAATTTCATCTTAAGCACCTTGAAATATAAGGTATAGCCAGAGAACTGTTATACCTTACCAACCATGGACATTGTGGTAGTTGAATCCCTGTTCGATGTTAACACACAACAGTTATATCTTTTACAAAGAAAATTTGACATCAATAGCCACACATAGTAGTGTATCATAGTGGTCACGATGACATTTTTGTAATACATTTCCGTGTCCATTTTGGCTACGCATCTCTAAATGTAATGGCACATACGTGGCATATGTATGACGTGTTTGTTTCAAAGTCATCACTTGACTGGTGCTCTCCTGTTGGCTGGCCCCAGGCAGCTGGTTTTTATTCATCAATTGGAGTCCTGTCCAACAGTCTCTCTTTCCAGAGAAACAAAGTAGAATGGTGTCTTCCAGGAGCTGGGGAGTGAGGAAAGTGGCGATTTGTTGTTTAGTGGATGTAGAGTTCTGGCTTCACAAGATAAAAAAGTTGGTATCTGTTGTAAAATAATGTGAATATATTTAACATTACTGAAGAATACACTTGAGGGCCAGGCAGATGGCTCAGTGGAATATGTGCTTCTCTAGCAAATGCAAGGGCCTGAGTTCAATCCCTGGTTCTTTAAAAAAAAAAGAATACACTTAAATTGTTATGATGGTGAATTTCATGTGATGCATGTGAAAGTTTTTTTTTTAACCACAACTTAAAAAATAAAATAAAATAAAAGATGCTGATCAGCATAGGAGAAAGTAGAGAGAGGAAATTTGTGGTCACCTGAGGGCAAGGGGCAAGGTTTTGCATTTTCCACAGTTTAAATGCTTGCAGAGAGAATATTTAACAGCTAGATCTAGTGTATGTGGGAGATGGTATATAGACTGAGGAAGGCGTTGGCTGAGAAATAAGAGACAAAGCCTTGGTATGGGAGAACTGGATTTGTGGGTTGAATGCTTAGCTGACCAAGGTATAAATCCAGAAAAGCAGCCAAAAAATTGTAACTCTCAAAACCCAATGACTGTGTCTGTTTTTCAAGAATTCCTGGGTTCCAGAGAAGTAAAGGCACATAAGGCAAGTGGTTTTCTACAATACAATAGAAATATATTTTTTACAATACAATTGTAATAATTCAGTTTATTTGAATGGTAATGTACACATTGCTAACAGAAGCTTATGAAAAGACTGTTAAGGAAATATGCAAGGCTTGACTTGTACATCAGATTTTTAAAAGTAAAACGTAACTCTTACACCATCAAACATTAAAATTTTGTGCAAATTGGAATTATTGCTTATGGAAAGGCAAAGAACACACAGAATTGTGGGGGAAACCCCAGCCCAATGTGGATAAAAGTAAAATATTTAACCATACAAAGGTGGGAAACTAACATGAAGGCAGAGATAGTTGTCTTTTCAATAAAGGTGTGCATCACAACCAGAGAAAGTATTTCAAACTCATTTTAAATAATTAAGGCTACATTACAACCCAAAAAGCATGTGGTAATGATAAGTGTGCTGTTTGCAAATGAAGATGGATCTAGCTACAAGGACCGCACTGCTAGTGCTTTTCTAGAGAAGGTGACACTTTTTGAGCCATATATTTGTTCATAGCTACAGTCTCACTTCAGGCAGATGACAGTGAGGTTTCAGGAGTCCTTGATGTGCACAGTTGTGAAACTGGGCTCTCGTCTTTACAGGCAAAGCTCCTTTGTTCCGCATGGGAATAGGTGCATACAGGAAATCACAGCTTGTAAAAATCATCGCCCTGCTCTTGAGACTGCACAAAGAGACTTGCTGATTTTAAAGTGGTGTCTTGCCAGGCAACGTTCAGTTGGTTTCCCAGCCGGGTGGCCCACTGACATAGATCTTCTGTTTAGGTAGCAGCATGAATAGTGGCAGAGACATTCAAAAGTTGAAATAATAAGTGTTAGCGTGTAGAGCCATTATAAAACCCACTAGAAGACAGGTGCTTCTTCAAATAATATACTTTGGAACAAATAATGCTATAATTATGATGATAAACATGCATAAGACTAAAAGGAAAAAATGGAAAACATTCTCATTCTCACTTATTCATATGTTCACTCAACAACTATGTGATGGCTTTACTTTTTAAAAAATTTCTTCTTCTTTTTTTTTGTTGCATTTTTAGTCCAGGGCCTATAGGGTCTCACTACGTAGATTGGACTCATAGTGATCTGCCTGTTTTCAGCCTCCCGAGAGTTGGAATTACAGGCGTACACCACCACGCTCAGTCTTATGTGATGGCTTTACATTGGGCCCTTAATTGTTTGGATTTGGGAAGCATAGTGTCCCTGTCCTCCTCCTCCCTGCCTCTGTGACTCCCCAGTAGCAAGTAATCACAGCAGCTTTTCTGTTCCTTGCTTATGGGACTTTTTTCTTATAGCTTTACATGTAGAGCTGGTGTCTTTATTTTGTATCTTATAGGTTACATAGGGGAAAGCAGTCAGAAGTCAATTGGAACTTGAGTTCCTAACCTTGACAAGGAGACTCTTTCAGCCGTGGTTTTCTCATGTGTGTCCTGTTTTAGCTTGGTGTGGTCCGGCATGATACCTCTCTTCATGAGGCACTGAGGGGTGATGAGATAAAGTATGCAAACCCCTCACCATATGCCTGGGCAGAGAAAACTTTTTGCTGTTCACCCCATTTTCTCCTGGGAACCACAAATGCACGCTTCATAGTGCATGTCCACATTTCTGCATGCCCTATCATTTGATCTTCAACTTTCAATCCACAACATAAGGCCTTCCTTTGCCTCTTTAACCTTTGCCATATTTCCCAGCTGATTAATTTGCTTTCTACACTGAGGAAACAGCATTGTTAGAAGAGAACAGGACACTTTTGTCTGCCATCACACCTCCCACCTGCCTTCTCCTCCCCTGGCTGTTCTGCCTTTCCTTCTGTTCACCTCTCTTGGGTTAACTTCTCTGTTCAAGCAGCCTGCCCTTGTTCCCTTAGTGCCCTTGGATGTTGCGCGAGTAACTCTGTTCTTTCCTACTCACTTTTCTGTTCCTTATAGATTATTCTCATTTGCATGTAGGGAGCGTCTATTATCCATTCTTTTTTTTTGTTGTTGTTTTTTTTTTGACCGGGGATTGAACTCAGGCCCTTGAGCTTGCCAGGGAAGCGCTTATTCCACTGAGCCATCTCCCCGGCCCCTATTATCCATTCTTAAAAACATTTCCCTTGACTTCTTCCTACCCTTACTGTTAACTCTTCCTGTCACTCTTTTTATCTGGTCCTCTTTATAGCAGAACAACCAAAGAGCTGTCTGCCCTCGATACCCATGACTTCTTGATAGGAAAACACCCAGAGAGAGCTGTCTGTACTTGATATGTGAGACTCCTTCCCTTTCATTCTCTGTTAATCTCTTTCTAGCCAGGCTTCCACCTCCTTACTTTACACCAGAACTCAATTTCGCCAACAAATCTTAGGCTAAGTCCGATGGTAGTTTTCACTCATCTTTTTAACTTGAAACAGCACTGCACAGACTTGCCCACTCTCTGCTCACTGACCTTTGTGTACCTAACTTCTAGAGCTCCATGCCAAAGGGCTCTTCTCCTGCGTAAAAGTCTTCCTTGATCCTTTGTTGGCCCTTTTTACTCCATGACTGTTAATGCTGGAGAATTAAGGCTCAGGGCTTCCTGGGGCTTTCCTCTTCCCTAGCTTCTTTTCCTAATGTCTCACTGTTATGTGTGTGTGGGCACTGACAAGGTTCAAATTGGGATCTCCAGCCTGGCCCTACTGCTTGAAATACAGACTTGTACATCATCTGACATCCTCACACTTCTATTTGGAAGTATAGTAGATATCTCACGCTTAACAGCTTCAAGTGGAACTCCTGACTTCACATCCTTGCTCTTCACATCTTAATTAAAACTAATTCCATCCTTTTGTCTTCTTAGGTCAAAATATAGCATCACTGCCACCTCTCTGTTGCTCTCATACTCTGATACTGTCAGCAATTCCTAATGTCACTATCTTAAAAATGCATGCAGACTTTGACCTCTTCTCTCAATCTTGGTGGTGTCTACTCACAATTTCTTACCTGAGTTACTACAATAGCCTCTTCACTGTTTACCATCTTTCTCCTTGGCTTCCTATACGCTTGTTCTCTGTCTCTGTCTCTGTCTGTCTGTCTGTCTGTCTATGTCTGTCTGTCTCTCTCTGTGTCTGTTTCTGCCTGTGTCTGTGTCTGTCTGTCTCTCTCTATCTCTCTCTCTGTCTGTCTCTCTCTCTCTCTCTCTCTGTCTCTCTGTGTCTGTCTCTCTCTCTTTCTCTCTGGACCAAGAACTGAAGTTATCACCTTTACTTGCCAGGCTGGCACTTGTGCCACTGAGCTATATCCCCAGCTCTTCTCTTTCTCTCTCTCTCTCTCTCTCTCTCTCTCTCTCTCTCTCTCTCTCTCTTCAAAACACACAGCAGGTAAGGTGATTATGTAGCTCATTTACTTAAAACCATGGCTTCCCATCCCAGATCATCCTCTCCTCAGCTTCCTACCTCTCATCACCTCCACCACTCTTCCCCGTGGTCCACTGGCTCTAGGCCTCCCCCCGCTCCACACACATACACACCCCTTGCTGTGCTCCCAACATAGCAGAACTCCATGCCTTGCAGCCTTTCTACCACCATTTTGTCTGCCGGGAGGGGTCTTCTATGAGGCTTCATGGCTGGCTGGTTGCTTCCCACTGGCCTTTGTTCAACTGTCCCTTTCCAGGAGAGGGCTTCCCTTGCAACCACCCTGTTCTTGCTATCCCTGGTGCTGGCTTTAATTCTCTTTATCATTTTATTATTTGTAACCATTTTTCTATTTAGTATATTTGCTGAATGGATTAATGTAGTTTAAAGAAAACTAGGAATAGAAGTTGTTATAATGAAGTAGGTAAATTAACAATGCTAGTATGTGTAGGATAGTCAAAACCATAATTACTTGATACTATACTTGAAAGATGCTCTTGATTAATAAATTGATAAAATTTTTCAATTTCATACCAATTCGTCTTCAGGTCAGCTTGCCGGGTTGTACGGATCAATAGAATATACTTCTTGCGTTTCTAAATGAACATCTTTTCTAGGCTTTGCATTTGTGGAATAATTGCTACATCAAAGAAATAAGAAATATAAAGTACTTTTTAACGATATAAAATTGTGTAATTGTTTACTCACCATAATTCCCAAAACATGGAAAATGTTTTTCACAAATGATATCATTTTACTGTCTTAATAGTCACTATGACTCAATTTTTGGGGAAGTTTTTTACATAGATACCCAAATCAGTCATCGGTGTTTCTATGTAAAAACATCTATGTAAACGTAAAATACTTGATAGTCAGAATGCTCAAGTCAGAAACTAGCACTCCACATCTGTACCCCATATCCACTACTCATAATGACTAACAGTGATGACTGTAAAATTGAAGAGATGTTAAAAATCCTTTATTTGGCACAGGATAAGAATTGGAGCACTGTGGGAAACATGATTTTCCTTTCCAACTAAAAAGGTAATATTTGTTTTTGAAGTTTAACTCCAACTCTTTATATCCCCACAGAACACTACAAACTTTAAATAATTTGCAAGATTCAAGAGAATGTTTTTACTTTTATTTTTTGCAAGTGCATATACTTTACTCTGTGTGTGTGTATGTGTGTGTGCATTTTTCTTGGGACAGAACCAAAGGCTTCACCCCTGCCACACAAGTGCTGTATCACTGAGCTATCTTTATTGGAGTAGGTGAATGACAATAAAATGTGATTATACTTTCATTGTCAGTGTTGAAACAAATCGCTGGAGAAGATTACTGCTAAGGCTAATTACAAATGGTTGCTTTCTACCATATCTAAAAGGTCAGTCAGAAGCAATACATTGAAAGTATTATTTAATGCTAAATGAGAGAGTTAGATATTAAATATCTTAGATGATGGAGAAGAAAAGCATAGTCTTTTTGAAATATTTGGATGACTGTGAAAAATGTTCAACTTTAGATGTTCCATTTTTGATGAGTTATTTCTCATCTCATTTACCAAAAAATATTCAGGGGAACCCTTTGGTATGTATAAATTATTAGAAAATGAATTGAAGTAGGTTAAAAATGGAAATAAAACCAGTCAGTGATACTTAGGAATCTAGTATCTATTTGACATATCTATTTGGGTGACATCAATTAAGACATGTAGCCTGGAAAGTGTAGGGTCCTGAGTTCAATCCCCTGCACCACCAAAAAAAAAAAAAAAAAAGAGGAAGACATGTAAATATGATATATAACAGGCTAATAAGGAGATTAGAACATTGAATTGTTTTAAATTTTAGGTATTTCCCAAGTTTGCAAACTTTTCAACACAGGCAAGGCTCTGATGGCAAATTAGTGGTGTGAAGGGAAGAGACAGAGACCACATTTCCTATTTATTTAAATTTTTCACTACTCTTGGCTAAAATTATCTTTTAATTTCCTATGAGCAAAGCTATGTAAATGACAGGTCTATATATTAATTTTAAGATCATTTTCTCTCTTGAATTTATAGAAGACATTCAATAGTTACTGTACATGAACAAAATGAAAGGATGTGGTCATTACCTCTCTTCATATCTTTTCTATTTCTCTAATACTTTTGGCCCAATTTTAAAAAGCCAAGTATGCATATGCTAGATAAAACAACAAAGAAAAGTATCTATAGCAAATAGCTGACATCCATTAACACTGTAGGCAATAAAATGAGACAACAATAAAGAAGTAATTTAAAATATATAGCCAGTGGAAATTAGGTGAAAATAGTAATGTGTAGAAAGGATATATTTTTTGTAGCTTTTATACTGGAAATTGAACTCACATTCTCATGCATGCTAGGCAAGTATTCTACCACTGAACTACATCCTCAGTGCTATTTTTATTTTATTTTACTTAGGCTGGCCTTGAATTCATGATTCTCCTGGCTCAGCTTCTGAGTAGCTTGAATAATAGACATGTGTTGCTATGCCTGGCTGAAAATATAGTTTTTTACTGAGACACCTAGATAACTCACTAAAAATTTATTAGAATAAATCACTATATAAATAAACTTTCCTAGATGTCATTTGAAGTTAATTATAAGATGTAGCCAAAAACATTACAAACCAATGAGGCAGGTAAGGTTTCCTCAAAGTGTGCTATGAAACAGTTAACTGTATAGAAAAAGAGTGCCAGGAAGTTACACTGGCCATGACTATGACATAAGTTCCACATTCCAATACTAAAAAATTAAAAATACGATGTAAAAATCTGTCTAATTTCAGGATAAAAACTTATAACAAAAACAGAAACCTAATTATTTATTTAGACAATCATGAAAATAGCCGAGTGGAAGAAAAAGTTACTTGAATAAATGAAAAGGCCTAGGCTGTTTCTGAAAAAGAACATATCACAAAACAGATGTCATTTTCAGAAAAGAAGCTATAAGGGGCTGGGGAGATGGCTCAGTAGAATAAGCACTTGTGTGGCAAGCGCAAGGGTCTGAGTTCAATTCCTGGTTCAAAAAAAAAAAGAAGAAAGAAAGAAAGAAAGAAAGAAAGAAAGAAAGAAAGAAAGAAAGAAAGGAAGCTATAGACTTCAATGAGTCACAGCATTTTTGTTCTCAGAAAGATGACAAAGGAATAAAAAAAATCACCTATAAGAAAAACAGAAGGAACTAGAAAGTTCTAAAAAATTACATGGAGGGATTTTCATCATTAGATACTATAGTAGAAAAAAAAAGATACTATAGTAGTATAAAGTTGTTCTAATGAAACACAAAGTAGTTTGCAATGAAATAACAGATTAGTGAAGGGGGAAAATGGTCAAGAAACACAAGGCATTCCATTATGTTAATTATTTTGGTATATGATTAAGTTAGAGCAAACTTTCTGGAAAGACAATAGGCAATATTTATTAAGATATTAAATGTAATTCTGAAATCTGTCCTAAGGAAATAAGTAGATATGAAACTAAGTCTATCATAAAAAATTCCTTGTGTCTTTTTTATTATCAAGACAATTATGGAAACAACCTAAAATTTCTGCAACACAGAGTTATTAAGAAATTATAAAGAAAACATCATTTAAAACACAAAAATATGGACATTAGTCTAAATGGAAAGGAACTCAAGATTAAAAATTTAACTGCCAAAATTTCACCTCATAAAGAAAAAGGAGAGAGACTATAAGAGAAGACAGGAATATATGTAATTATTTGGTGTTGTCAACAGGAGGCTTTTTTGTATGGCTTTTTGTGTTTCTTTCCTAGAGTTTTTTATTTTGTTTTATAATATACCATCTGAGTAAACATCATTAGACAAAATAAGTTATCTGTCTGGTGTACTTTAAGTCCTTGTAGGAGATTCCGCCCCCCTATATCACAAGATGCTTTATGCCTGCAGAGCATTGCAGTATTCATTTAATACAATGTGTGCTTATGTGTTTAGAAGAAGCCAGCGCCTACTGAGCCTTTTGAACTTACCCTCCTCTGAGTTTTGATATCATACATAAGGCGGCAATAACCAACAAGAGAACAAATCCTGTGCCTAGAACAATACCTGCAGGAGGGGAAGAGTTAGTATCAAATGCGAAAAAGACGTGTGTTATAGACTGATGACTGGCCTCATACTGACATTTATGCCTAACTCCATCATAAATACTAACTTCTTGAATGATCATAACTGGGTCTAAGGGTTTCTGATTTGACTCAGTCAGCACTCACATGAGAACAGGGCTCGAGCCCTTTCTCTGTGGGCTTTTTCTGCTCCTTTCAATTTTGTTAGTAATACTCTTGTCCTTGTGTTGGAATTGGGAGCAAAGGCTCCCAGCATCCCGTTTTGGCAGAACAACATTGGAATCTCCATTGGGAAATACACTTTACTACGGCAGAATTTTAAATAACTTATTTCAGTAGCATCAGGTCACACAAAATTCCAGGTTTTTAATCATGAATATTCCAAGAGTTAATAAATTGAACCTCTGTTTAAAAATCAGAAGTAGCTGGCTGTTTAAATGTTTATCTAGCTCTATCCCAAAGAGATATCTTGTAATGTGGCATGCAAGGGGGCCAGGGAGATGACTCAGTAGAATAAATGCTTGCCTGGCAAGTGCAAGGGCCCGAGTTTAATACCTGGTTCAAAAAAAAAATGTGACATACACATTAAAGTATCTTTAAAACATAAAAGAAGATTATAGCTATTGAGTTAAAATGAAAAATATTAATAGGTGGATCTAGAATATACGTGTGTATATATATATATATATATATATATATGCATAAAACATGGTAAGAGATTTTCTTCAAGAATTTAAGGAAACTTACCATAGAAAAGATGATCTGATGAACCTAAGTAAAATATAAAACAATGAAAATGTGAGTCTAGTAGCACAATTCAGTGTGCCCCAAGTCCCATCATCCTCTGGTGCTGTCCCAGAAAGTCAACACTCAGACCCCCTTCCATATCTATTCTGATGTAATTGGTCCCTGAGTTATAGCCACTCTTTTGTATTAAACCCTCACTGTATTTTCTTTTCATTTTAATTATGTAGGCTGGAAGAGGTTGCCAACAGAGGAAAAAGAAGGATATACTTGGCTTTGTAATCCATAATTCTCCAGGATCTAGTGAAAATTTTAATTATTATCCTAACTGAGTTAACATGTGTTTGTAGCTGCCATCAAATTAGTAAACAAGTTTTGGCAAGCAGGGAAGTCTCTGGTACAAGTTCTCTCCAAATGGAAGGGTGTTAGTTTTGCATTTTCACTCCTTTTAAGCCCATGTTCTCCTCTTTTTATTTAGATCCCCCATCCTAAGGTGCACTTTCTCTAGAGTGGACCACCTGCTACACGTCTTCTGTTAGCACGCCACTGGCTACAGATCTATGTTAACTCAAAGCTTGCTGAGGGAGATCTCTTGCTGGCTGCTCTCCATGCTAAATGCAGGCATCAGAGAAGAACTGGTACTTACGGGATCTGCAGACCGCCAGAGGAGGGTCCCACTGGTGGTCGTCCTGGCACTGGCTCTGGGGACTGCCCTCCAGGGTGTACCCATCTTTGCACTCCATGGTTACAATGGACCCGTACTGGTACATCTTCTCAGGCTCCAGTCCCTTTTGAATTCCATATGAGTTCTCAGGGAAGCTACAGTTCACCTCTGTAAGGAAAGGAATCCAAATGAGGCAGAGTCATACTTTGTCTGTTAGCAAGAAAACAGAACTTGCCCTTAATGGTAAACCAATTTATTTCATTCTTAGTAAGCACCGCTTCAGGGAAATAAAGCCCTAAGCACAGCCTTTGTGGTCTCAGCATTCTTTCTTAATAACTCCAAGTGATTTAGCTTGATTGCTTTCTTTCTGCTTCTGTGTCTTTTCTAATAGTAGTAGATGATCCTAAAGGCCTCTTGGAGAATGCAGAGGGACAAAAAAGTCATATGGTCTATTTCAAGTCACTGTCTTTTCCTGCATTGTCTACTTTCTAATTCTTTGTAGCATGCAAACATTTCAACTTTCCATAAGTGGTCAACTATGTAAGTAGGTCACTTACCAGTCAGACTACAGCCTAGGCCATTTTTCTTATTTTGAAAGACTTAAGTAATACATCGATCCCATCAAATGAACTTAACTAAATGGTCCAGTTAATGCATTTCTTTGGCTATTTTAAGTTGATTATACCTAATTGTGAATGTATCTATTTGGAACAAACTGGTTTACTAAGAGGAACAACAAGAGGAAACACAGAGCACGCACCTTTACAGTAAGGGGCAGCTGAGCTCCAGGCTCCCTCGTGTGTGCAGAGCAGGAGCGGCTCCCCCACCAGCACATAACCTGGGTCACAGGTGTATTGCACTGACATCCCGGGGACAAACTGAGTTGCACTTCCACCGGTATGGTTCCCGTTGAGCACTGCATGTGGAGGCGGACATGCTATGAAAGCTTAGAGAGCAGTAAGAAAGGAACATTAATCCAGCACAGGAGAACATCTAGTGACAGCATTTCTGTGAGGCGGCAACATAGAAAGGCAATAGGTGACATATTAGCCAATTGGCTGGTAACCAGAACCCTTCCTTCCAGCTAGACCAAATGATGCTGGGAAGATGTGCTTTTTATACCTACATCATAGCTGATCTGAGGAAATGCACCGAATGGAAGGTACTGAAACATCAGTAGCTGTGGTCCACAATTATAATTTGTCAGCCACAAATATTCTCTTCTTCCTACTTTAAATAGTAAACAGACTGTAGTCTACGCAGCACACGTTCAAGGGGACGTAGGAAGTGAAGCCACCAGCTGTGGCCAACTATTGAGCCACCATTCTCCTCAACGTGGCAGCCACTGCAGACCTCACTTTTCACAGTTTGATTCCTTACCTTGGGCTATGGGGATGGATTTACCTTAAAATAAGAACACTGCTGGCCAAGGAGAATTATTTTGGGGAGATAAATTCCACTGGGTCATTAATTGGAAGCTGGTGATAGCACTAATTACCAAAAGGAATAAAACTGCCAACTGGCAACGAAGACCAAAAAGGAAATTCAGTGGCTTTGAAGGCCAGCTTCATTCCCCTTAACACCAAAGTCATCCTCTGACTGGTACTGTGGCCTTAAGTTCCAGATTCTCAATAACATTACTTCTAAACACTGGCATGACAAGTATGTGTAGCTTTCCTTTTCTAAATTCATAGGAAAAAATATATTTGGAGATTCAGTCAACTTGGAAGTGTACCATGGGTCCTCTTGGGCACTGTGGCTTAGTGTACAAACTGAGAAATGAAAGGGATAAAAGAATCGGGTGATAGATAAGGCCAGTATCTTTTAAGACAATGAGACTATCGAAGTTTTCAAATCCTTTTCTTCAGGTGGAATGGCAAGTGCATGTTCAAAAACATTTATTTTGTACAACATCCCATATTTAATCTTTTAAAATATCTCACCCTTCCGGATACAGGTGGGTACCCTTGGCACCCATGTGTTATCCGTATGGCACCTTATTGAGTGACTGCCTTTCATGATGAAGCCAGGATTGCAGGCAACATGCACTACATCATTGTGAGAGTACACGGAATGAGTTTTGTTGACTGGGTGCCCGTGTTTGATATCGGGATGAGGGCAGTGGGTCACAGGAGGCGATCGTAAGCACTGTGGGGGAGGCCCACTCCAAGATCCATGTCCTTCAGAATTACTTCTGCACTTCAAGCTCTGCTTTCCCGAAATATGGAATCCTGGGTCACATTTGTAAGAGACTTCATGTCCGTACTGAAACTGTTTTGCCAGCATGCCTGTGGGTCTCCCATTGTCAATCGCTGGTGGAGGCTGGCAGTGGATAGCTGCAGAAGAAATTTAGGGAATTCAACTTCAGGTGGTACATCACAGTCTTGCTTCCGATATAGATGGCCCTATGCAATTGCATTGTATGTCACATAACTAGTCTTTGAAAGATTATACTTTTTGTTAAATAACTTCATATGTGAGTAATATAAGCACAAAAAAATTAGAAAACACAATAAAGTGTAAGAACAAATACATCTATGTTTCCATGTCCTAAAAATGTGGGATATTTTTATGTTTAGCAAAATTAGCAGGCCCGGCGCTGGAGATATAGCTCAGTAGCATAAGCGCCTCCCTGGCAAGCACAAGGTCCCAAGCTCAAACCTCAGTACCAAAAAAGTAAAGATAATAAGAAAGTCAAAATTAGCAGGCATCTGGCAACTACTTGATTTCTACCTCACAATTGTTTCTAGTATCTATCAAACACCGAAGCATTTTCCATTACCTCTTGTATATTGAGGAGAGGCATAAGCTGTTGAGACAGTTACAAACTAACCCTTCAGCAGCCTCCCTTCTCTGACCACTTACGTCCACAGTTAGCTCTTATATTCCCAATTTACCTTCACAGTGTGCACTTTTTTGAAACCAGACTCCATTCCTGGCATCTTGGCACTTCCTATAACTATATCCACTCAACTGGTACCTAGAGAGGGATAGATGGAAATACAGTAGTTTTTCTTTGCCCAGTATCATGTTTCTGCAGCCTGACCTCTTCAAATTATAAATCTAGTGGCACTTCCAAATAAGAACTTTAGCACAGAGATGATAAAACCCTTGATCCTGCAAACAGAAAACTACTGTAGAGTTACAGATGCTTGGAGCAAAACTTCCATATCAAGAAAGCCTGGAAAAGCCAGAACTGCTGGTTAGGCCACTGGAGCCTCGTATCCTCTGTGGGTGTGGCAAGGGGAACATCCACAGGGACTTGTGGTGACAAGCTGTGGGTAGAGCTAATGCCAAATTCAAGGCATTAACTTCCTCAGAATGGACCGTCTCGTACTCACCCCTCTCTACAGGATGCGTTCACAAGCTCCACATGGGAGCCATCCGGAATCTCTGCCACAGACTCACACCCTCCTGAAAGAGTAAAACCAGGATAATGTATAGATGTCTCACAGCAAAGAAAAGGGTAACTCTGGCAGTGAAAGGACCTTTGCACCATGGGGCAGGGCTCCAGTGAGGGCGGATAAGTCAGTGCTACTTCCCACAGCATGTAGCCAGGCTCACAGAGCTGTTTACAGAATTCCCTGAGACCGTGAAGACCAAGTTGCCCCCAGCACTGACCATCATGGAGCCCAGTAACAGGAGGCTGCTGAGGAGAAAATGCCCCTCATAAACACCTACACAGGGGTGCTTCTCAGTCAGAGGCAACCTGACATTTTGTGACAATGAGGATCAGGAAGCTCTCACTAAGCACAGAATGCTTCTACTGTTGTGAAAGATGCAGGCCCATTCCAATGAGCTTTTCATTTTCTACCATGAGTAATCCCAATCCAAGGAGGTATGCACCCAGCAACATGCAGAACTCACACAGAGCACTCTACTAGAGCATGGGAGAAATCAGAAAGTACCACACGCCCCCATTACTTTCCCCATACTCTGGCTCTGAGTTTGCGATGGATGATAAACATGAATAAGTGAGCAAAGCCCTCCCCTGTTGGGTTTTTACCTTTTGCACAAACTGGAATTTCAGGATCCCAAGTGTTGTTAGCTTTGCAACGAATTTGAGCACTGCCTTTCAAAATAAATCCCCTCTGACATGTTAATGTCACACTGTCATTGTAGGAATATGGGGCTTCTTTTCTGGATATCTTGAATCCATTTGCAATGTGGGGCTCTGAGCACTGGGCAACAGGGAGGGAGAGTTTACAGAGAGGTGCAGGGCTGCTCCAGGTGCCGTTCTCTCCATCAGGGCTCGTGCAGTGGATGGTGCGCTCCCCAATGAGGCCGAACTGCACCCCTTCCTCTGGTCCAGGGTCACACGTGTAAGTGACTGAGGTTCCAAATGGGACGTTTTCTGAGGAACTCCCTGTGTGTGTCCCATCAGAGATAACAGGAGGTGGTGGGCAGGTGATTTCTAGAGAGATGGAAGGATACTGTGTAAGTCTTTCCCAGCATCAGACACCTAAGAGCAGAAGTCAAGCACAATATGATTCATTTGTTTTCAGGTAGGTAGGGATGACTTTTCATGATGTGAGTTGTACCAAAGCTTTGTTGTGTATGTAAAAGTCAATTTAACTTGATTGCACAGAACAAAATCTTTACTAAGTGAATCTTTACTAAATCAGTATGACATCTTGATTAGTACCTTATGAAGCATTAAGGCTCCATTGTCAGTTACTAATTAAAGGGAGAACTTTTAACATAGCCAGTAGGGGAATGAAAGGTACAGAGGAATAGGATTAAGCTTTTCCGAGGCTGAGACCATAAGATCATTTCTATGTTTAGTGAGGCATACTTATTGTTGATTGAGTGCCTACTTTTGGGAAAGGCGTACTTATTATCCATAAAGTAGGGATAACACAGCTTAACTGCAATAATTTTGAAGTCTGGGGTTGTCTGTCAACCTGACAGATGGGAGGCTACAGTTTCAGGGGTGTTATGTAAATTGCCCAAAGTTGCACAGCTGTGAAGCAGTAGGAAGAGAATCTGAGTCCCTAAGTGATGCCAATCCCCTAATTTCTTCCCTAGTGCGGTGATTCCTTGGTTATTGGATGCTGGTTTACATCTTCATTGCTGTCATTATTCTCAAAACTCCAAATGACAAAAGAGAGTCAGTAAGAAAGCACACTTCATTCAACTGACTGAAGTAGAAAAAGGTAACAACAGAAAGAAATGGTGAAACTACACGATGACAACCTCTGAGAAAGTCAACAGAACCGAGTGTCGTGTACTAATTCCCATCACACAGCTTCAAACAGAAATCTCCCTGAAAGCACACATTTTCATACCAATTACAGTCTTTCAAGTAAAGGTTTGTTTAAAGAAAAAAGGGTAATAAATGAAAACATGAGACAAAAAAAGTCACAAGACTGTCCTGCTACAAGGATGTATATTGCTAGATTTCTAAATTTCTGTGTAAAAATATGTAAATGCTTATTCTTATTTTTTAAACTTTTTATCTTTGTAATCTTTTTTCTTCATATTCTGGAGGAACTCAAAGTTTAACATATCAATACTTGATGGAAAATACCTGTTCCATGTTACGTCTAAGATGTTTGATATTCAGACAGATAGTGAGGTTAAATTCAACTGCCTATGTTATAGGGTAATAATATCATTATTATTCTCTTCTCTTCTGGAGAGTTAACAATTTAAGTTTGCAGACCAAAAATTAAAGAAAAAGGAGGGCTACAAGGATAGCCAACATTTTGGCCCTAGCCTTTCAAGGTCATAAGCATTCAGGAAATAGCAAGACCTGTACTGTGACATCCTGTAACTCAATTGTGTCACAAATTCTCTGATCCAGGAGATTTGGGGACACAGAGGAAAGTGACTGATGATGTAGAGTGTGCCTAAGGAGAGTCACATGGAGAGAAAACATTCTCCCAGGCTTTCACATTGAGCACATTGGCCAAGCGATGGCCGTGACTCATCCACATCACTGACACTGACAAAGGATCTACAATCTGAGGTACAGGATCTCAGGACAAATCCTGAGGGGATTTCACTGACCTTATCAGATCCAAAAGTTACATTGCTTGTTATATTGGTCTTGCTTTTTGTTGGTCTTAACCATTCAGCAGAAAAGAATGAAAATGAAGTATAAAAAGTAAAGCCATATTAATATGCTGAGCTGTAAATACTCAAGTCAACAACTTTGGACATTGGCAGTCTTATGGAAAACTCACTACTATTATGGACTACTGGACTATATTGGGATATTTTGCTGAATTTATGCACCTACAGTATTTAAAAGACAATGGAATGCCCTTCTCTGATAAAACTAACCAAAAAAGGGACATAAATGAATGACCATTTTGTATCTGTATATTCAAAATAGTTAGGATAGATATACAGCTGCATTCTCTTAATTCAATGAATAGAGAGGTTTGTTATAATAGGGTTTGAGACAGGATATCAGGTCTGCATCTTGTACAATGAATAACCACTAAGACAACAATATGCAATGTATTAATTATTGAAAATGTACTGGTAATTGGTTATGAAACTGTCTCATTGCCATTTGTTTCTCAATAAAAATATTAAACACACACACACACACACACACACACACACACACACACATTTTCAGATCCTCTACCCCTTGGGCCACTCACCTTCACAGAGATGGATCTCCATATACCAAGGAGGCGTTCCTTGACATAGCTGATAAGCATTCTCACCCAATCGGTACCTAGAAACAGAGAACTGCTTCATCGGGCCATCTGGCAACCCCAAAGCTAAGCAAGAACAAGCAGCTCTAAAGCAGACTCACCACTTTCAGGACAAGAGGCAATAAGAACAAAAATGTAGCCAGTTTCGGTATCATCCACCTACTGCAGTTTCCATGCATGAAAAACTGGTGTGATCAGCACCCCATAAACACACGACGGGGACAGATCTTTGCAATAAACTTACATAAAGCTTGCTGTGTCCACAGATAGGCCAGACCTGATTTGAGCTGAGACAGCCTCCACTCACCCTTCACCACAAGTAGAATAAATGGCTGGTCTAATAACTGTATCCTGAGGTTTTTTAAAGAGTTGAGGTCCTGATGGTTTACATTCTGTAGCTAAGAAGAGAGACTAAGATGAGAAACAGCTCCGGGCCATCTTAGACCAAGCAAAGCATTGTCTTTGAGGCCTGCTACCTTTGCACTGGGGGAGAGTGGGCGTCCACTGCCCCTCAGGGGTGCAATGGATGGACTCTTCTCCAACCAGTGTATAGCCAGGATTACAGCTATATTTTATGGAGGTGCCAGGAACAAACCGGACAGTATGTTGATCTTCCTTTTGTCCATTGGGGATCTGAGGAGGGGCCTGACATTCTAAAGCAAAGGAAAAAGAACCAAAAAACAATATTAAGTGAACAATAACAAAAAGAAACTGACCCCAAGAAATTGCCATTAATAATACAATTCTACTATGTGTGCAGCTGTATGACATAGTGGGAACTTGAAGCCCAGATTGGGGGTCATTTTAGATCACTGCTGGTCAGCAGTTTCTTTTCTGATCTTGGGCTGCCACAGATTTGTTTCCAATCCTGGTTAATATAAATTCTCTCCTGTCTCTTCCCTTCTTAAGGAATCATCTTGGGTGCTTTCAGGGGAGATTTTGGTCTATCCCTGGGTAAGATCCCTTTTCAAAAATTGTTGTTATAGACAAGCCTTTTGGTCCCACTTTTTCACTACAGAAATGTAAAACTTAGAATGGTTAATGTTTTCTCTCCAACCATATTTCCACAAAATGAAGCAATAGTCGAAAGGTAAAGAAAGCCCTCACAAGGATTTATGTCTTCTCTGCTTAGTACAGCTGAGGATATAGGAACTGCAAAGGGCCCTGTATAAAGCACACCACCCCTTCCCATAACGTCTCAGAATTATGCATTGGTAGCACTGTGGAGCACTGAGTACCCACCCTTCTCACAGACTGGTACTGGCGGCTCCCATGTGCCCTGGGCATTGCATCTGGTTCTCCTGCTGCCCTTCAAGGTGAAGCCAGGCTTACAATCAAATATCACTGTGTCATTATAAGAATACTGATCTTTCTTCTCAGAAAAAATATGACCTCTTAGGATTTGGGGATGAGGACAATGAAGCGCAGGAGTAGAAAGTCTGCAGTGTGGGGCAGGACCACTCCAGGTCCCCATATTCTGACTGTTCATTGTGCAGTGGATGGTCTTCTCCCCAATAAGGATAAAGGTCACTCCTTCCTCTGGGCCTGGGTCACAAGTGTAAGTTACGGTGCTTCCATATGAAACATTCATTGAAGAGCTGAGTCTTCCATTGAGAATAGGAGAAGGTGGTGGGCAAAGAATTTCTGGAGAAATGACAGAGAAATGAAAGGTCACAGACATGCAGCAAGTGAGAGTGCCTTGGGGCTGATTCTGACCACTGTCACATCTGGGCTCAAGACAATCACATTTTACCGTGTCAATCATGGCAGCTAGTGAGATATAACTTAAAAGTGTGATTTTAAAATGTGACTAGTGAATACATCTGTTCTGTTGATCTTTTAGTCCTACTGACAAATTTTTTTTTTTTTTTTTGTGGCCTGACTATTTACTTAATAAGTCTGCATGGTTTTCAGAGAACGAAAAGTCTGGAACTGCACTGGATTTGAGGAAGCAGAAGACAAAGAGGCAATTGAAGGTGGCTTCAGCAAGAACCACATGCCTTATACCCTCTGGGATTCTTTGTTCTGGAAGTCTGTGTGCTAATAACAGGCCAACATTATTTACCAAAGCTGAGAATGCAGGTTCTGTTGAACCTCTGTGGTTCTGTACAAATTATATTTGTCTCACCCACCTTTGCATATTGGCTTCTTGGTCCATGTAGCTCTCTGTTCAGCAATCACACACTGACTGGAGGGCTGGCCTTGTAATCTGTACCTGGGGACAGAGGGTTGTCATGTGGAATAGTTAGGCAGTTTGTGCTGAATAATAACAACTTCTGCCTGAAAGCTAAGACAAATTCACATAGTGTGTGTGTCCCTGCTCCCTTGATAAGCAGTCTCCCTCCTATGCTCACTGGAGCTGCACTTGGATCCTCGTCAAGGTATATTCTGAGGGCTTTACAGTCACACCACGTGCAGACAATTCCAACTGATTGGATGCTACAGACCCTCCTAACACTCACCCTGCATTACAGGAAAACGTCACAGTTGCACCAACCCGAAGACTTGGGGGTTCAGTGATCTGCCCATTGGGAAATTGTCCTATAGGGTCACACTGTGCCTCTAAAAAACAAGCCAGCCATAAGGAATCAAGACAAATAACAGAACAAGCCAGTTTCTTAAGAGAGGTTATAAGTTTAGGATACCTTTGCACACAGGAATGGCAGCACTCCACTGGCCTGAAGACAAGCACATAATCGTCTTTGGTCCTTGGAGCAAGTAGCCAGAGTTACAACCATAAGCCACAGACAATCCTGGGACGAAGTGTTTGCTGCTTTTCCCTGTGTGATATCCATTGGAAATCTGGGGAAGTGATGGACACTCCAGAGGAAAATCTTTACAAACATAATTAGGGAAAAAAAAATCAGATGCTATATACTTTACAGTCTAGATGTTGACTTCAGACATAGTGCTTAGTCAGACATAGTTCTTCGTATAAGTAACTTTCAATTCAGCCTTTGCAGGATCAAATGGATGTGGTTTAGCTGTGCCGTGGTATGCTGTAACTATTGCAGCATTACTGTATACTCCTGCAAAGTCATGGCTCAGTGTAATTTGTGGGTATTTTCTTGAACCTAACCAATAACTTTGAAGAACCCCCTGTAATTTTGTGGAAACTGCAGATGTTGTCCAGAACTGTTTTTTCAGTGGGAGGTTTGGAAGCAGCCAATCCAAGAGTGTCATTCAGGTCTCCTTGCTCCTAATTGGCTGCTTCCCTGCAACCATCCAGGGCTGATGCACCAGCATTCTGTATCAGTACAGATTCCTGCACCAGGTGTAGCTATCAATCACTGGTATCCTCTATTTTGTTCTTAAGGCTCTAAGATCCCTAAGATGTTGCCAAAATGCCCTGCGCCTTCTAAGGATTTATTAATACAGTAATTTACTAAATTAAATTATATAACTCAGGGAAAACATAGCATATTTAGGGTTTAAACTACAAAAATGGGCATTTATAGGCATTTTTCTGGCCATATCTGAAATTCATGGTTTGTCACAATTTTCAGATTCTCTAAGAACACAACCCCCCCCTGTATTTCTGAAATTGAATTACACAGTAACAGTGACTTTTGCCTTCAGAAAAATTTCAGTTGCAAAAATTAGTCCATTTTCATCCCACCTGTAAGTCTATTCTTTGTTCCACAGGTAGTACATATCCTTTAGAGGTTATTCTATTGTACATTAATAATAGAGTTTATTGGCACCCTATATATGACACACATAAACATGTACAGTATAGTATATGGACTCCTGGCATGTTGTGTGTGTTTTGCTTCTTTTGCTTATAATACAGTGTATCTATGTTGTTCATGTCGATGCATGTAGGTCTGTCCAAGTCATTATAAAGGTTCACTTGCTTCCCATAGTGAAGCCTTTCTGGCACTATCTTTCTCCAACACTAACTTTTCTTGCCTTGATTGATCAATTTTAAAATAATATCAAATTTTCTCAGTTTTTAAAGCCCATTTGGAGGGCCAGTCAAATAGCTTAGTGAACTAAAGCACTTGCAAGCAGGCGCAGGGCCCAGGGGTTCGATGCCTGGGCCTGCCGTGCCGGCCCCACCCCCAGTGTGCGCTGAGAATACAATTGAGACTGGGTGTGGTGGCACACGCATGTAATCCCAGCTCTTGGGAGGCTGTAAACAG